AACACAACATTTTGAGCCATAGCTACAGTGAATAAGCTCATTCACTTTCTTCTCTCAAGTCACGCTCTTCTTCTTTCTTCTGTTTAATTACTTTCTTCTTCCTCCTTCGAGAACTTCTTCTTCTTCTCACTGAAGCTTTCTCATTTGTTGCAGGTTTAATCAAGGATTCAACAACTCTACCAATGAGAGTAAGACTATTTTCCTTGATGAGAACAGAGTTGTCACTCTCTGGGATCTGAACTGGCGGGAGATTACACACACACTGTAAGTAAGATAGCTTATTAACTTTTGTCGTTCGGAGTAAAGACACCAACAAAAAAACTACTCAAACAAATTAAGGGACTTTGGCAAAACTTTTGTTCTTGAGAGATATCATTGTGGAGTCCACTTATTATATAAATTACCACTCACTAGGAGCTGGACATTGCAATTCGATGACTTTTTGTAGCGTTCCATCATCTCCCTCGTGATAACTTCAGACACTTCAGGGACTCTGAGTTGTGTAGTATCATCACTCTCTTCCATATAGATCTTTATCTCTTTCAAACATGGAAAATATTCCAAGAAATGTTTTATCATGTGCATCTCTTTCGTTGTTCCTTGAACCTTTTTAATCTCTAACACTTTTACTGGACAAGATGTGAGTGAACGACCTTTGTCTTCTCGGGAAACGCAGTCACAAGCATCCCCACATTTATTTGTGACATGGTGCAAGAGACCCTGAAGGCATAAAGGAGACAGTTAAGATTTCAATGTGTGAACTCTATCTTTTGGTAAATGAGTACTTTCTATACCTCAAGGACTAGAGTTTCTAAATGTGGACAGTTCCTTAGAAGAACTGGCGTTGCTTGCCATCCTCGACTCTCGTCACTCTTGATAGATAAAGTTTTGAGGTTTTTGAACACTGGCATCAATTCACAGCATAGAGAAAGCACCTAATAACAAGACAAACCACAATTAGACCTTTGCTTATTTGTTAAAAATGGGACCGAACAAACATGACTGCCATGCTCCATAAATTGAGAAGAAGTGCTAGTTTTGTTTCTTTTATTTCATCAATATCAGCTAAATAGAGAAATAAAGAAGAAAACTGACCTCAAGAGTATCAGGAGACAGAACTAGATACCGAACATTTCGAATGCCATTCATAAGCTTCCCCACATTTGCAAATCGGAGAACAACATTGTACTCATCATCCTCTAACAAATCATTGTATGGCGCTCTTGCTAGGCTGATCTCTTCATCAATTACACAAAGGCTGATTCTAGCCTCAAACAAGTTTTCCATTTTAGCTACAGAATAATCTCCCGCGACAAAATCAGAGTAAGAGAAGTAAACAAGACTAGGTGTATCCAATGAAAAAGTATTGAAACATTCGATGAACTCTATTGTTAGGGTCTTGAGGCTTGCACTTGATAGAGATACAGACACAGTCACATACAATTCTTTCCAGTGTATTCTATCCAGGACTAATTCCTCAAGCGCAGGCAAAGCATGAAGAAGAATCTCAAACTTATCAACAGATAACAAAACTAAGTTAAGAACGAGAGTTTTAAGGACCGGTAAGAAAATGCTCTTATCCAAGCAGAGAATATCAAATCCATGAGTTAATTCCAGCTTAACTAGTTTCTTGTTCTCGAAAACTTTTGGACACTGATGACAGTTATCTTCTAATGGGGGATCCAAAAGGATTGATAGATTAATCTCTGAAACACCGCGCACCAACACTTTCTGTATCCAACAATCCACTCGATCTAAATAAAAACCGCCGGCACAAAAGAGGGAGAATTTCTTTATGTGAGAATTACCCTGCAATGCCAACACTCTATCAACAAAATCCATGAAGAGCTGTCGAATATCGTCCCTTTCCTCTTTACGTACCTCTGGATGCAGAAACTCACAGTCATAAATATCAAGATTAGGGACGAACGCAATCAAATTGCGCCACCTCTTGGAGAGAACCGATGTCAAAGCAGCCTCCTTTGTGGTAAGGAAGGACAAAATATGGCAAAGAAGCTCGTCTGGTAGATTGCTTAAGAGATCCATTACCAAACAGAGAAACGTTTGATCTTTCAATTCTTGTAACACGTTAAACTGGTAAAATAGGAATCTTATGGACTAAGGAACCCCCAAAAAAATAATGAGTAAAACCTCGAAACCTAACTTGTTACAAAAGGCTTCATCCAAGACCTAATTTTTTTAGGGGTTTCAGTAAAAAGAGAGTTGGGATTTGCTTAACCCCCTTGGTTTCGATGGCTCTACAAGCGGAGATATGAAGATAATTATTTGATGGCTCTACAAAGGCATCGGAGAAGCAAAAACATCCAATTTTTCAGACGAAGACAGCAAGCAAACAAAATATAGGGTTTTGTTTCATCCGGTTCTATAAAATCACCGGTTTAGTTTCGATAAACCGGAACAGCTCGATCTTTGGACTACATTGGTTAAACAGATTTAGGCCCAAATTTAGAAGTATTGCTTAAAGAGAAGAGAACTCAGAGACCGAAAGCAAAGAAGAGCTAAACTAATAGCTTCTGAACCAAAACTATGAGACACATCAGTGTGCACTAGTTCACTTCTTAAACATGAAAACTGTGAAACTTGTTGCGACAAGTTTAAACATACCAGAGACTTTGAGGTCTATAAAATCATTCTCTTTACCAAAGACTCCTTAAAGACTTCACTGTGCAGTCCACTTCCTGTACAAGGAATCACACACCATGAATCGGACATAACAACTAGATAACTCATTGTAGAGTTTCATTAGCTCCACGATATGCTCAAACATTCCAGGGATTTCAAAGGTTGACTGATCATTCTCTTCGGCATGTATCTCCATCTCCTTCAAACACGGAAACGAGTTTAGGAAATGCTTTATCATCTTTAACTCTCGAGTTGTTCCTTGAAACGCCTTAATATGTAACTTCTTCACCGGACAAGATATGAGCGAATGACCTTTGTCATCCCGGGAAATGCAGTCACACGCATCCCCGCATTTATCTGTCACACAGTGTAAGAGACCCTGAAAGCAAAAACTAGACAAATGTAAATGTTTGAGACAATGTGTTGTTCAAGTATACTTTCATGGTCTATCTTTTTACCCAAAGGGCTAGAGTTTCCAAGTGTGGGCAGTTCTTTAAGATAACTGGCATTGCTTGCCATCCGAGATCCACGTGACTCAAAATAGCTAAGAATGTGAGGTTGTTGAACACTGGCATCGCCACACAGCATAGAGAAAGCACCTGAAACGAGACATTACACAGTTGCACAATATGTTTCCAAAAAGCAAGTGATTGTTTGTTTGTCTATAAAATCAAAATAAAACAGTATACTGACCTCAAGAGTAGTAGGAGACAAGAAAAGTTTCTTCACATTTCGTATGCCACTCATGAGCTTCTTCGCATTACTAAATCGGACAACAACATCTACCCAATCTTCCTCTAACATTGTATGATCTGGTTCTCTTGCTCGCTTGATCTGATATTCGTTTGCTAAAAGGTTGATTCTAGCATTAACTACGTTTTCCAAATTCACTGTTGGATAGTCCTCCGCGACTAATTCAGAGTAATCTAGGAAAACAAGATTTGGTGTATCAAATGAAAAACTTTCAAAACTAAAACTCTCAGACTTAATTCTTAGAGACTTGAGACTTGCACTAGACACAGTCTGATCCCAATCTTCGCACTCAACATTAACCATTTCCAATTTCTCAACCACAGGACAACCACGAAGAAGCATCAGAAACTGATCAAAACAAAACTCAGGCGAGTCAAGAACGAGAGTTTTAAGCATCGGTAAGAATACTCCACCATCCAACCCATCAACTTTAATTCCTCTCCCCAATTTCAGCTCAACTAATGTCGAGCTAATGAAAACTTGTGGAGACAGCAAATAATTATCTCCAAAACCAGTAACAAGAACAACAAGATCAAGCTCTGAGACACCACGCTGCAGCGCATTACATATCCAACGATTCACAAGACCTGGATCAACACCAGTTCCACACTTGATGGAAACTTTCTCAATGGGAAAATTCCCCTGCAACACCAATACTCTATCCACAAAATCAATGAAGCTCTGTAGAATTCCGTCTCTTTCTCGCTTACCCTCTTCCGGATATAGAAAGATAGAGTCATCAATGTCAAGATTAGGAACAAGTGCAAACAGATTTCGCCACCTCTTTGAGAGAACTGATGTTAAAGCAGCCTCCTTTGTGGTAAGGAAAGACAATATATGGCAAAGAAGCTCGTCTGGTAAACTGCTTAAGAGATCCATCTTCTTAACTACACAATGCTCCTACGACAAATTCGAATATCAACCATTACCAAACCTAGCTAATAACGAAAATCTGAAACTCTAAACGAAATCACATCCAAAAGAGAGTACAGTAGTCAGTAGAAGCAGAAGATATGAGTTAACTTCGTCGCTTACCTTTGTAGACAGAAGCAAAACCCAAGGCCAACACTTTAAGCTCTTAGCGCAGGTAAAAATGGAAGGGGCTTCAATGGAAGGCAAAGTCTCGATTTTTCAGTTCGATGAGACATGTAAATGCATCGGAGAAGAAGCTGAAACATCAAAATTGATTTTTTTTATTTTTCTCGGCGAAACAAAACATCAAAATTTTACAGAGACCAAAAGAGAAGGAAACGGAGCGTTTTATGCTTGACTCTCTACGACACGTGGCACACTCAAACCAGAAATTTGATTTGGTTTAATGATTGGTTAGGTTTTGGTTTATATTCTCTTGATCTTAATCAGTTTGGTTTTGACCGATAGGCAACACATGTCGCGGTTTCAGTGTTTCACAATAAACTTTCATTAGCATCTGCATTTTAAGTGAACCAATTCAATTTGATCATTCTACAGATCTTCATATAACACTATAACCGTAAAAAACTATATTGAAATAATAATCATCATGGGTTAAATTTGTCTACGTTAGACAAAAAAATTGTATATGCTTCACCACGAAAAAAAGCCGGAAAATGAAGGTATAAAGATTGAGAATGAGTATGACCGGATAGATTTACATCGTCAAGGACAAGTACATTCAACAGTACATCGTCGTTAGTGTGGGTGAGAGATTGGTGAGCTATATGGGAAGAATTGGAGAAGTATCAAAGTCATTATTACCAAGGATTCCGTTTGATGGATCTTCTGATTTCAACGAAGAGTCTTTCTTGCTACGTTCGAGAGATGTTGCCTCGAATATTCCAAACCCTAATACTAAGCAACAGACGATGAAACCGGGAAGAGAAAAATCCATTTCGTAAGCTAACTCCATGACTATTATGCATGCACCTGCTACCATTAAATGCCTCGGCGAAGAAAACACCATATGCAATCTGCGATAAACAAAACATATTCGTATAAAGCATATGTTTGTGTGTGTAAATGAAATGTAAAGATAATTAAAGGGAAAAGCTTTCGGAAACCTCTCTTCTGCGATATTGTCAACATAGAATATTAGGATGATTCCGAAAACAATGGTGCTAAGGAAAGCCCACGCAGAAAATGGCAACTCGGATGTTTTCCCAGAAGATGACCCCTGAAGTAAAATTTTGATATTAGTTAACCAAACTGGTATTAGACAATCGAGAAAATGCCACCTTTGATACATTATTCTTAGTCTTTGCAAAACAGTAGCGTTACTTACTATGATAAGGTCCCACATGGCCACAGGAAACAAGAAACAGGTGGCAGAAGTAATGGTTATCGCATGAAGTCGTTTCTTCTGCTGGTTCTGTAAAAGAAGAAAATTGGTTGTTCGCCAAAGGAAGCAGAAATGAGAGAATAAATGACTGGAGAAATAGAAGGAATCTGAGAGCAATACCTTTAGAGAAACACGGCGCGCGATAACCCGCCTTAACGCTGATAAGATTCCAGCAAAAACTGGTATCATCATTCCCATCATACCTAGTGCCTGTTCTGTTTGTACTTCTTCCTCTTTTGTTTCGGTACTATCTTTTGTTGGTAGCTTGTTGTTAAGTTAAATTATCCATACCATTAAAAACGAGCAATATATATATATATATATATATATATATATATATACATAGAGATCGAGATCGAGATAAGAAGAAGGAACTTGCGAAAAAGGATATAAAAAGGGGAGAGCGATGATGTCGCCCATCCTTGAGACAAGAAAAAAAGAGCTACCAGCATTGCAATGAGGCCACCTACCTGACATTATTTGCAAATATGAGAGAATTGTAAACATAAACTTGATCTTTCAAACTGAACTTCATATCAATAACTGTAATGCAAGCAATATAAGTACATCAGTACATGGATAAGCCAGAAGAAACGTCTCTAATGCCCAAAACTATTGAACAGTTCTATAGTTTGTCTCTGACACAAGGGAGCTGATGCATGCCGTAAACAACCTAACACTATGGCTAAACCCTATGTAAACCGTGCTAGTAAACTGGTTACATTGAGTAGAACTATTAAATTATAGACATGTGAGATGGATACCTTTTTCCACACATGACCTCTCCGTCCATACAATACTCCAGAAAGTACTCCAAGAACAGCACCAGAGTACTCTGATAAGATAGCTCTGCCAATAATATACAAAGATTTATTACAAGCAAGGAGAATCGAAGTTTCAATGAAGAAAATTTATCTGGTCACACGAGCTTAAAAATGGCAGATTACAGAACTAAAGGATAAAGAGCGAATTGTAAGTCCAGAATTTCCGTAAGTACTGAACCAAACTGCTAAAGTGGGACCATCATGCTCAGAGGTAAACTTTCAATTTCCCTTTTCAGAAGCCAAAATCTAGTATATATCCTAAGAAAGAACGACAGATAAGAACAGAGAATACTTCACGGTAGTATGAATGCTTAATGAATACCTAAGAGGTCCACAAGACTTGAGACCTTTTCCCCATAAGATGAAGTATAGAGCTGTGATGACTCCATTGATAAGAGAAGGTACAATCTGAAATAGTAAAGAACCAATTTATGTCCAAACTCTCCAATTTCTATGTATCAAATATACATGCAAGAAATTGGATATGACTAAAGTAAACCTGTTGATTAGAAAGTGCCCTTCCTTTCCATGGTTTTTGAAGTATCAAGAAGATGATAGATGAAGGCACCAAACAGCAGAAGAGAAAGAGAACAACAGGCGCTCCCGTCTGATTCAAGTATCGGTACATAGAATAAACTGACCATATCCTTAAAAAGTTCCCAATAAGGTGGATTATCTGGAAAGGAGTATTCCTGCAAAATAAAGAGGGTCAAAACACAAAACTTAGGTGGCAGATTACTCAATTCTAAGCCAATGGCTAAACAAAGGCAACCGAAAAAAGACTACAAATGTGCTCAAAGTTAAGGACTCAAATCACTGCTTCAACCTAGTATTGAATCCTAACACAGTAAACTAAAAGCTTAATATGAGGACTCAAATTAGTGATTCAACTTGACTATGTTGCTGCATTATAAAGAAAACCGAGGAATGCGATTTCCAAACCCGAAACAATAAATTCCAAGCTACAGTACACATTTCATTGCAATTTTGAGGACTCAAATCACTGCTTCAATCTAGTATTGATACATAACACAGTAAATTAAAAGCTTAATATGAGGTCTCAAATCAGTGATTCAACTTAACTATGTTGCTGCATTATAAAGAAAACCGAGGAATGCGATTTCCAACAACGACGGATAATAAAACCCGAAACAATAACTGCTTCATCATAGTATTGAATCAAAACACAATGAACTCAAAGCTTAAGCTAGAGGAATATGAGTACTCAAATCAGTGATTCAACCCTAATTATGTTACTGCATTATCTTCAGAAATGCGATTTCCAATTCATAGAGACGATTAAACGAAGCAACAGTACACATTTCGTTGTAATTTCAATGAAACTCCATCGGAGCAAGAAGAAGAAACATCGTTTTTTTTTTTTCTTCTACGCAATCAAAATTAGCAAAAGAAGAAACCACACACAATAGCAGAGAAGTTTTAATCGAAACTTTGGGTATGAATATACCTGAAATGTGAAGATCCTCGATCGTCGGAGATTTGCTTCGGCGACATCATTTTTAGCCGGAAAATTAACTGATGCTTAAATCCAGTATAAAATTAAATCCTTCCACGAAATCAGTTGAAACTCGGAATCTTAAGAAGATGTAACTGTAGAAGGATTTGCGTGAAGCTGTGATGGAAGAAGAAGTATCGTCTTCTTCGTCAAGGAACGCTAAGTCCCGAAGCTCTCAAGTCCAGCGATCTATTGAGATCGGAAGAGAGGACACGTAATTTTTGTATTGGGCCTTTCTCAAGCCCATTATAAATGGCTTGAATCTAAAGAAAACCAAGGCCTCGAAATTTTTAGTTTTAGGCTTAGGTACTAGTGCTACATTGAAATTAATTAAAATATATGTGTTTTTTAATATAAATTTAAATCTTAAGTACCAAAATTTACTATAGTTTTTACTTTCTACTAATATCGGTGCTGTAATATTTAAATTTAAATTCAGTTGAAAATGTGTCTTTAGTAAATTATTACTTGATAAAATTTACCAGTGTCGGTGCCATAATATGTAAATTAAGGCAGAGTAAAATATGTGTGTTATCAATAAGAAAAAAAAATTATGATAAGATATTATTAATAAATAATCTATATTATTAATTGGGAATCACTAGGTAAAATATTACAAAAGATGCCATTAGTTTTTAGTGTTTTTAAATAACTTCATTAAGGGTACAATAGTAATCACAAAATTAATATATTTAAATAAAAAATAGTTAAATTCTTTTGAATAATTATTAATTTCCAAAAAAATTAAACTAACATTCCCTCTCTTATTAATCATGGACGAAAATTTGAATTTAATTTCTAAAAAATTGTTAACCAATGAGAATTGAAAAACTAGATTTGATATACAACTAAGATTTTATCTAAACTAATCCTAATAGACTATTCTATATCAAAAATATAAAAGAAAAATAATATCATTTTAATTCAAAATTAAAAACACTATCGTTTAAAAGATTTCTCAATGAAGGATTTTAAGATTGAATTTGAAATTTCGTATGAAAATTAAATACAAATATTTTAAGATATAGTTTTGTTATAATATTTTTACAAATTTTGATATATAAAACGAAATATTATTTCACAATTTCTAAAAAATGATATTAGATATTAACAAATATTTATATTTACTATGAAATAAACTCAAATAATAATAAGTTTAAAGTAATTATCATCATGGCCTTCGTTTAGAGCAAGTTTCGGAAATATCTAAACAATAGATTGTACATATTAATTTCCAAATTATTTTGCGTTTTAATTTTTCTTTTTCAATCGGATCTTCCTTAAATAAATCCCTAATATATTGCACACAGTTTTCGAAATAATTATATATTTTGCATTCAAAACAAATTATGCGGCAATAGCATATCCCTTTTAGAGATATATCTCAAATTTTTATGTTTAGTCCAAAATCAAATTAATTATGATTAAACATTGAAAAGAAGAATATGCAAAATTTAGCTAAAGAAATAAACATTAATAAATTTGTTAAAATATATTTGTAACTTTAACAGTATATATATTAATCCTTAAAACTCACACTATGTATTGTATGGTTAGGCCTGGGCGTTCGGATTTTTGGATCGGGTTCGGTTCGGGTTTTTCGGGTTCGGATTTTTCGGGTTCGGGTTTTTCGGATTTAGAAAACTAAGATCCCTTCGGATATTTTAAAACTTCGGGTTCGGATCGGATTCGGGTTTACCCGAAGTATCCAAATATTAAAAAATTTGTATCTAACTCTATGCAAAGTATTAAGAAATACTCCAAAAATCTATAAAATCCAAGTATTTTATACCCGAATCTATCCAAAAGTAGCTAAAACACCCAAAAATAACTTAACATCCGAATAATTTAGGCACTTAAGTTATTGCATGTATAAATATTACTAATATATTATAACTATGTACTTATTATTCGGGTATGTTCGGGTACGTATTCGGATTCGGATTCGAATCGGGTTCGGGTTCGGGTTTTCGAGTTGTGAAATTTAGAACCCGTTAGGGTATTTTAAAACTTTGGGTTCGGGTTCGGATCGGATTTTCGGCTCGGTTCTTCGGGTTCGGGTATTATGCCCAGGTCTATGTATAGTATTTAAAGGTAAGAAAACATGAATTTGGAATATGATTTTAATGGAATGAAATGAGAATAAGAATTACGAGACGAGATGGGATGGGAACATAAATTAAAAATTAAACTAAATACCCAACTGGTATGAGTTCGAGTTATGAGCACTATATAAAATAAATTTGTTTACACACATAACCATGTACGTACGTTTTCAGTTACACATATTCTATTAATGCCGGATACGGGACCGTCATATTTTTATTTCACGTATACGAGACGGATTATTAGACGAAGAATTTATGACAGATATAGGACGGGATAGGTTTCTCATTCCAAAATAGTTACGCCTAGCTAATATACATGAAATAACCTAACTAAAACCGAATCTTTATCCTATTTAACACATGTAATCAAACTGTTAGAAATGTTTTGATTAGTTTAGAAAATAAAACCGTAACATCTATTGACTTTTGCAACTAAATTATATTTTAATTTTATCTTGAATATAATCTCGCACGTAATATAATCTCGCACGTACGTGTAGGTCCGTATCTTAAAATATAACTATGCACTAACGCCAACCGAATTTCGTTCATTACTCTTAACTTTATAATATTTCTACTATTATGAAGTTCACTAACACAACAAAATATTTATATTTTTAAAATCTATATAACAATTTCTATAAAAATATATATGCACGTACGTGTGGATCCAGATCTAATACAATAAAATATATATCATAAAATTAACAAAATAATCTATATTGAATTAAAATTTGTTAGAAATTTTTAAAAATATGAAATCCCGCGTTTATGTGCGGGTCAGGATCTAGTATATCTTTAAATTAATATAAAAATAACATTTATATAGTGTCCTAAGTAATTTATTAACTTTATATTGGCTAGTGGCGGCGCCATAATATCTAAATTTAAATTAAGCAAAATTTATGAGATTTTTAGCAATTTTTATTTTAATTTTGACTAGTGTCGGCGCCGTAATGTCCAAACTTAAATTAAAATGTGTCTTTAGTAATTTATTCTTTGATAAAACTGACTAGTGGTGGCGGCATAATATCTTAATTATGGAAAGTACAATATGTGTATGATTAGTTAAAAAAATTATGTTAAAACATTATTAATGGATAATCTTTAAAATACTAAAAATGTGACCTTTTTACAAATGTCCCAAGTCATTTATTAACTTTTGACTAGTGGCGGCACCGTACTATCTAAATTGAAATTAAGCAAAATCTATGAGTTTTTAGCAATTTTTATTCTAATTTTGCGTAGTGTCGTCGATGTAATATCTAAATTTAAATTATGTTGAAAGATGTGCCTTTAGTAATTTACTACTTGATAAAATTGACTAGTGTCGGCGCCATAATATCTAATTAAGACAAAGTAAAATTTGTATGTGATTAGTTAGAAAAAAAAAAACACAAAATTTATTGTACACCATTATTAAAGGATATCATATCTTTAAATTAAACAAAAATGACATTTTATAGTTTATTTGTCTAATTGTCTAGTTTATATAAATTGTCTTCTCATAATTTTTAGACTATCTGCTTTTAACCTTTTCAAATTTAATTGTCACAAAAATTTGTAATTTCTTTACCTTTTAAACTCTCATTAAACTGTGTTTTATTATTGAATTTCAGTCTTTTTACTTCAAAATAATAATTAAAATTCACATTTCTTTACTAAGAAATGTACAAAAGGTGGAATACAAAGAAAAAAATATTTTGGTAAAATGAGAGAGACAAACACAAAAATAGCTTATAAAAAACCTTAGAAATCACACAATCATGCACTCACATCAAAAATTTCATCGACTGCTTAAACCAAACTCCATTGTTTTCATTTTCCTTTAGAAATCAAACCAAGGTATATCCTTTTCTCCGATTGTTGGTTGAGTATTTTTTTCAAATTAATTTCATATAGATTTCACTGATCTGTTGAAATTCCTGGGCAATTCTTGTAAGGGGTGACCAATACGTGCTTTTGTACACAAGGGCAAAGCTATATGAGGGGGTCAAGTGACCCCCATCAATTTTATAAAAAATTATTTGCAAGGCTTAATTAATGGTATTTGGTTGATAATTTGGTTTCAAATATTTGACCCCATGGTTAAGGGAAAAAGAGTGCAGCGCGCTTTTACTCCCCCTCATGAGTAGATCACTTGAATCTTCGTGATGACACGATCGGGTATGATCGGGTATGAAAGTAGTTGTTGGATACGCCTTGGTAAATAAATTTGTAGGACACGTACATCACCATTCTTCTGCAGTTCATTGGTCTCGTAGGTGGATCATCTTGATCATTATCTTCGTTTTTCACGATCTCATCAATGTATGTCAAAGACTTTGAGTAACAATAATCTTTCATCATTGGAATCACAACATTTCTCTTTAGGTGTCTATCATTCGCATGTTCTTTGTTGTCTCGTTAAAACCTTTCATGGAAAAACCCAATGGGATAAAAACTATGATAAGGGAAAAATGTACAACCACGCATATAATCATATTTCTCCCCCTGGAATCATCATCTTCAGGATATGCATTCCAGTCATATATACCATCTTTTCGGGAATCTCTATATTCAAAAATTTAGTGAACAAACTGGTATGATGGTCATTAAACCTCTCGGGTCTTTGAACTTGTAGTTCATAATATCTCTTTCAGATTGAAGATTATTTCATTGTCTACTTAGACTTCAGGTCCAAATAATCTTTTGCATACAATCTTCTAAACTTCTATCTTTTACATAGGAGTTTTGCATACTCTCCTTGTAAAAACTTACTAATTTAGCTTTTCTTCTTATTATGATTCTTCGGGACCAAATATATGTGAGCATTTTCCATGTAAAATCCTGCAAGGATCTTTGAAATAATCTCTCTTTTACTAGATGTCCAATTTGTAATTCCGAGGAATTTCATGAAGACTCGGATTCATGTACAATCTTATTTCAACATCTTCCATAAGAATGATTCCATCTCAAATTCTTTCATTAAATA